AAAAGGTTCAGAGAAGGGCAACTGAAATGATTAGGGGTTTGGAGAGGGTCCCATATGAGGAGAGATTAAAGAGGCTAGGACTTTTCAGCTTGGAAAAGAGGAGACTAAGGGGGGATATGATAGAGGTATATAAAATTATGAGTGATGTAGAGAAAGTAGATAAGGAAAAGTTATTTACTTATTCCCATAATACAAGAACTAGGGGTCACCCAATGAAATTAATAGGCAGCAGGTTTAAAACGAATAAAAGGAAGTTCTTCTTCACACAGTGCACAGTCAACTTGTGGAACTCCTTACCTGAGGAGGTTGTGAAGGCTAGGACTATAACAGCCGTTTAAAAGATTCATGGAGGTTAGATAGATTCATGGAGGTTAAGTCCATGAATGGCTATTAGCCAGGATGGGTAAGGAATGGTGTCCCTAGACTCTGTTTGTCAGAGGATGGAGATGGATGGCAGAAGAGAGATTACTTGATCATTACCTGTTAGGTTCACTCCCTCTGGGGCACCTGGCATTGGCCACTGTCAGTAGACAGGATACTGGGCTAGATGGACCTTTGGTCTGACCCAGTACGTCCGTTCTTATGTTATGTTCTTAAAAATCTGCCCGGTCACTACACTATCCTCCTTCAAATCTCCTCTTAAAACGCACCTCCACTGTGATGCTTATAAAAGCCTTGAGAATGATTCGACAGCTAGTGTACTTTTGATCACTGCTATAACCTCAATGTTACCTTGTACCTCCCCCATCCACCTGACGCATCCACCTGCTGGCTCTTGTCTTTGGGACAGGGACTGGTTTTGTTGTTGTATGTGTGTACAGAGCCCAGCACAATGGGGAACTAGTGCAATATACACAATGGACAAGCCGAGTCCGAACACCTTCCAATGGGGAAGCTGAGCCACGGTGGCTTAATTCCTTATCCCTGAGACCAAACCTCATCTTCAGCAGAGCACACAGACCCTGAGTGAGATTTACCCACATGCTTAACTGTGAACCCTGGGAGTAGCTCTAGTTCAGTAGGGATATGCACAGTTAAGCACATGCCTAAGTCTTTGCAGGATCAGGGTCTTAGCATCCAAACAATCTCCTTCCAGGGTTGGGACAGGGGGAGGGGAGGCTGGATTGGTTGGCACAGTATGAACTTCAGCCTTGACCTTGGTTGCAGGGCCGGCTTTAGGCCGATTCCCCTGATTCCCTGGAATCAGGCCCAGCGCCTAAGAGGGCCCTGCGCGCTAAAGAAGAGTGGCTAACTTAGGAGCCTTTTTTTTTTACTCACCCAGCAGCGCTCCAGGTCTTCGGCAGCGTGTCCTTCACTCGCTCCGGGTCTTCGGCGGCATTTCAGTGAAGGACCCGCGACCGAAAACCCGGAGCACCACCGGGTCAGTCATCCTTTCCGGGGCCCAGTCTAAACTATTCGAATCGGGCCCCACACTTCCTAAAGCCGGCCCTGCTTGGCTGTCCCTAAGGGTTTCTCTAATCCTTCCTCTATCCTTGCTCCCTAGTTCTCTCTCCACGTAGAGAATCACTACCACCTCCTTTGTGTCCTGGGTGGACACACCTGTGAACTACACCTGTCAGCAGTTGTATCCAGTGTTCCAACAGCTGCCAACACTGAGCGGGGCCACAGAAGAGTCCTGTTTATAGCCAGTTCGAGAGAAACAACTTTAGGATAAAAACTAAGATGGCAAAGAAAGGGGCATTATGGCAATCATGTTTAGATGTTATCAATAAATGTAACAGTCGGGGAATAAAGGAATGTGCAGCCTAAGAAACTGAAAACCCTCCTGATCCTGGCTGGAAGTCTTGCTCAGGACTAGAGCAGTTTGTTTTCTTCAGTGAAATCATGTATCCAGGGATGGTAGCCTCCTTTTCAGTTTGTGGGTTATCGACTTTGATTTTTACACATTTTCTTGTTATCTGTAAATGTCCAATGAACAATTTAGGAGAACATAACTCAGCTTTTGGGCTGTTAGCAAGCTATTTGCTTTACCTAAATCTTCAGCCATATGGAATCGAGGATTGGTGATGTGACTGGTCAATTAAGCCATTTGTTCCTTAATAGGCTGCCTGCTGTTTTAGGGGTGTGAATAACAAGTAGCTGTATTTACACACCAATCCTGTCTCCTACAATTCCTGAAATCCTCGCCCACCTCACCCAGACTTCATTCCGTTGTTATGCATGCAAAACTCCCAGTCAACCAGTGCCTGACGTCCACACTTGGGCAAACTCTTTTTTTAAAAATAATTTTGTGCAAACTAGGATTTCGGGTTTTGGGCCCTGTCCAAAGCCCATTCAAGTCAGTGGGAGTTTTCCCATTTATTTCAGTGGGTTTAGGATCAGGCGACTGTCCCTCAGTTTAGTTCAGTTCGTGTTTGTCCTCCCCAATGTGTATTTGTGCTGTTGCCTTCTGCTGAATGGAATGTCCGACTTGCTCAACTGTGTGTGGTCCAGTCACACTCTAGTGGCTAAGTATCGACACCTTGAAAGTGTGACTGATCTAATTACTCACTAGAGGCTGCAGGCTCCAGAGAGTATAAAGTAGAAGCCTTAATACTGTTTCACAAGTGTAACATTGTGTGTCTCTTTGTCCCCTCTACTGACTTAAATGTTTATTTCAGAGTAGCAGCTGTGTTAGTCTGTATCCGCAAAAAGAACAGGAGTACTTGTGGCACCTTAGAGACTAACAAATTTATTAGAGCATAAGCTTTCGTGGACTACAGCCCACTTCTTCAGATGCATAAATGTTTATGTGTCTTCTACTGTGCTCAAGAAAATGGATCTTGCCTTTCAACATAGGCGCTAGGGCCCACAATCACAAAGATATTAAGACTCCTAACATCTGTTGATTTCAGTGGATGTTAGGAGCCTGCATACCTTTGTGGAGCTGGACCTAGAGCAGGAGTGGGCAAAGTTTTTGGCCCGAGGGCCACATCTGGGTATGGAAATTGTATGGTGGGCCATGAATGCTCACGAAATTGGGGGTTGGAGGGTTGGAGGGCTCCAGCTGGAGGTGCGGGCTCCGGGGTGGGGTTGGGGATGCGGGATTGGGGGTGCAGGAGGGTGCTCCAGGCTGGGACCGAGGGGTTCGGAGGGTAGGAGGAGTTCAGGGGGGCAGGCTCTGGGCGGCGCTTACCTCAAGCAGCTGCCAGAAACAGCAGCATGTCCCCCCTGCAGTTGCTATGAGGAGGTGCAGCCAGGCGGCTCTGCACACTGCCTTGACTGCAGGTGCTGCCCCTGCAGCTCCCATTGGCTGTGGTTCCCAGCCAATGAGAGCTGTGGGGGCAGCACTTGGGGCAGGGGCAGCGTGCGGAGCCCCCTGGCTGCCCCTATGTGTAGGAGCCAGAGGGGGACATGCCGCTGCTTCCAGGAGCCGTACAGAGTGGGGAAAGACCCTGACCCCGCTCCCCGGCTGGAGCGCCAGAGCGGGGCAAGCCCTAGATCCCATTTCCCGGCGGGAGCTCGAGGGCCAGATTAAAATTTCTGGAGGGCTGGATGTGGCCCCCAGGCCGTAGTTTGCCCACCACTGACCTAGAGGCTTGCAGGTGATCTGGCCAGGGCATCATTACACCACCATAAATGTTTCATAGGTTACTTCTAATAAGTGTTATGATCATTATAAGTGCCTTTCATTTCAAACGACCCAAATGTACCTTACAGATTGCCATGAGCAAGGATCACCTCACCTGCCAATGAAATATAACCACCCCTGAGCTAAAGTACAACTGCTTAGGTCCTGATCCTGCCCTGAGCTCCATGTAGGCAGCCCCTGTGCCCCCAGTGGAGCCCCACTGAAGTCTATGGAGCTGTGTGCAGGTGCAGAGGTCTGCCCAGACGGTGCAATTTTCAGACTAAGGGCCTAAATGAGTTAGGCCCTGATCCTGCATGGAGCTGTGCCCAAGTGCAGGGATCCACCCACACAGAACTCATTGCAAGAGCAGGGCTATCAGCTTTACCTTCTAAGAACCACACCCTGCTGTAAAGAAAACCAAATCAAACATTGGTTTTGCCACCACCCTGGGTTTTTAACTGTAAGTCCTGTCATGAGAATAAAGAGATGTGCAGTTACCTGAACCTCAGCTGTGACAATTTGAAAGATTTTTTTTAAATTATGATTGACCTTTTAAATTGACACAATTGAGTTAAAAACTCTAAATTGCCTTGTGTGTTACCAATGACATGTTAAGGGTATTACAGGATAAAGAATTTTAAACATCTAATTTACACATTGCTATTCATGCGATTCGCTTTTTGTGCTTCATTCAGTTTATACAATGAGATAAGATTCTCATCCACTAGCATAATGCTGCCACGCCTGGGCTACAAACACAGTAAGGGAAAGATGCACATCTCAACTTTCATTGACAGCTGGTTTAAAAATGTTATTGAAAACACTGATGTTTATAGTAGTAGGTTTTATAAAATCTTAATTGATTTTTTTCTAATTTTGGCCCCCAACTTGCTTAACTGTATGGATGTGAATAGTCCCCATTAACTACTCAGGTGTGTAGAGTTAAGCATATGCCAAAAATGTTTACAAGGTCAAAGTCTTTGTTTGGTATAAACCTCCCTTTAAATGTCTCATTGAAACACACAGCAAAATCCTTCGGCACCAGGAGAGACTCTTTAAATATGCATTATAGTTCATTCCAAATGAGAGAGCTCTCCTCCTCCTAATGAATGCTACTTGGCAGCTCTGATTAGATAATAGACAACACCTGAGTAGACAGGCAGTGTATAAGTTAGTTACCTCTCCCCCCTACCCCTTCTATAATAAGGGGGGTATTCTCCAAAGAGGGAGGATGAGCTCATGAACCAATCAATCCATAGTAACAGAATTTGTCATGCTAACTGTGTCTGGGGAGACCTGGTTGCTTAGTCTTTGGGAGGGAGTTTTGGTTTGTTTTCTTTCTAATGTAGGTTCTCAGTAAAGCTTTGCCATGAAACCTTTGCTTTTCTCAGTATTTCCACTCCTTCTATTCTTTTCTTCCCTGGGACAGGTCTTTAATGAGCAGGTTCGCTTGGACTTAGTGAAGTCCAGCCCCAATGTGACTAAAGCTGAAGAGAGGGTAAGTAGTAGAGAACAATAGAAGGTTTGTGCTTAGCATAAACATGTAGACCCCCCACCCCCATAATGCAGTATTCTGTCTCTGTTCCTCTATAAATCCCACTTTCCTCTCTCTTCCTCATACACCACAGATGGAAACTAGAAACCATCAAAGCTAGTTTTCTATAACCCTGGCAGAGGTAGTGATCAGCTGCTACAAGGTTTTGGTTAAAGTGACCACGAGTAAGGAGAAAGCTGTAAACACCTTCACAGTGCCTTTCTCCTGTAACAAGAACTAACCCTCTGTTTTCTTTACAGGCAAACCGGTCCCTGCAAGAGTCTCAGCAGGTGAAACCAGGTAAGAATTAAATTTTAACTACACCATTATTGTTTAGGCCAAGTAAGGTTTCAGTTAAGTCCAAAACTTGCACATTCCCCAAGCTTTGGAATAAAGGCCAGCAGCAATAAAGATGGTTGCAGAACCTACATATTGCAGAGTGGTATTTAGGGGTACCTTACATTGAGAGCTAGGGAAAAGAAAAGTCCCTTCTCCACCCCCAAGCTACAAAACACTTCAGAGATTCTTGTTGGAAAATTGGTAATTTAAGGAAGAAATGCTTAACTGCAGCTAATACTATTACCTCAAACAATCAGTAAGTCAGGTGGCAGAGTCAGATTGGAAAAAAAACAACTCTAGGTTGAACATACAGTAAGCCTCATGGGCCTTTCTTTCTTCAAGATACTTTTTATGGCAAATGCTGAACCTTTTCCTGCACAGGAGATGAGTTTTCCAGTTCATTGAGTTAGCCTCTTTCTACCACTCCTAGTTAAACCCTTTTTTTTCCTTCACCAAAATCTAATGGCTTTCCAGCTAGATTACCCCCTCTTAAAATGATGAGGACTAGGAGTGGGGAAACAACTCCCCAAAACTACTGAACTGATGTCAGTTACTGGGCCACCTGCTCCAAAAAATTCCCCCTCTATTGGGCGTGTTCTATAGCTCCTGTATTATGAATCCTGGTGTAAATGTAGAATCAGAAATAAATCTTCCCCCCGCATCATTTTATGGCAGGCCTCCCCAAGTGGTGCTGTTCTAGTCTTCCCAGTACTGTTCCTTGCTGTGTGAGCAAGTCTTGAAACCTGGAAAGAGATGCTGTGGTGTTGCTACTTTTTATGCAAGGCTCTGTGTAGAGGCCGGGTCCCCGGAGAAGGAGCTGTGCAAGCAGCAGGAGTGTCTGCTTTTCTGCTGGGATCTTCTTGACGCAAAGCTGCTTCTTAGGAATGGGGTATTGGTGTTGGGCTGAGATTCCTTGAAGAATGGATTTCCCTGTATGCAGTCTGGCCGTCTCATTTCAGGACTGGTGTATGAATGTAAATAAAACCAGTTACACTTAGACTCTGTCACTGATTTCTTCTCCTCTGGGAAGCTGCTACTGCTCGTTAAAGGAGAGACACCAGTGTAGGAAGGGGCAAAAATACATATTTTTTTCCCCCTCTTTAGCTCTTTACACCAGTACGTGCAGTATGGCATCACTGCATTCACCTTAGTTAATTTGGAAAATACTCTGCCATAGGCTCGAATGCAATGCAGTGCTTGTTTTGTTTTTTATGGCAGCGTAATGCTGTGTCAAAGGAATGCAATTCGATATGGAGCGTTCAAATCAAACAGGGTTCAATGTCCCAATTGTAGGTGCAGAGATAGGAAAGACTTAATGGATTGCCTCATCTTCTTGTCAAAGGGTTTGACACACTCACTGAGGCAGTTGTAAAGCTACCTTGCTCAACAAAATTGTGCCTTCATAGCACTTGCCTCTTTGGTGCCTGTATACATGGAAGTGTTTGCGTAAGCACATGTTAACCATGCCACTGCTAGTGGATTGTTTGCCTTTGTGACGCCTTTGAATCGAAGTGGAACTGCATTTTTATGACCTTGGCTAATGCTGACGATGCAAGCGGCAATTCACCAAGACTCATTTGTTTGTGTACGTTTAAAGCAGACGTTTATATAGATTAGGCAGTCTCCCGAAAAAAAGCTTAACTGCAGTCCATGTGACAAAAGGCATGTCTCCCTTGAATGCGTGGTGCATCCAAATAGCATTTGCAGCTACACTGGAATCTAAGGTCCCATAATCTGGGTAAATTTGGATGTGCCAAATACAGTTGCTCGGTAATCTGCAAGTTGCAGCAGCATCTCCAGGCAGTTAGATAGCTTTAACCTGCTCTTCAGACATTGGTTCATATTAAAAAGCACTGGGTAACTTGTCTCCCAGTTCAGCCATGCACTGGCCGAGGCAGGGGGACCTGCTCTCTCACTGTTTGCTTCTAGATGCCATCAGTTCCTGCCATCTGTGTCCAAATCTCCTATCCCCAAAAGTAAAATATCTGGCTCAAAGTTACCTGAGATCCACTGGATCATATGGCACACTGCTGCTTACTGATTCCATTTCTAACCTTATTGACCTCCGAGTACCTGACTAGCTCTTAAAGTTTTGTACAGCTGGGAAATGAGTAATTCTTAGAACCATCCCAGGACTGGAGGTAATTTTTTCCTTCAATCACAATAAACCTAGATCTGGATTGTCTATAACTTTCCCTCTTCATATATGAATTGGAAAGCTTCAGAGCTGCACTCTGGGGTGTGATCATTCTATCAAACGTCTTTGGTAACTCAAGCCCCACCCATGTTAGCTTAAGACTTTCTTTAGCGGTAAGTGTATGTTGACACTACTATTTATGCCGGCAAACCTTATGTTGCTCAGAGGGGTGAATATTCCACCTCCCTGAGTGACATCAATTATGCCAGCATAAGCAGTAATGTGCACAGTGCTATGTTGGCAGGAGAGCTGCTCCCACTGACATAGCTACTGCCACTCGTTGGGGGTGGATTAATGATGTCAATGGGGGAGCTCTGTCTCATTGGCCTAGAGTCTCTACATGAGAGAGCATCAGTACAGCTGTACCGCTGTAAGCTTGCTAGTGTAGACATGGCCTTATTTTCACACCTCTCTCTACTTCCCAAGCCACAGCAGCTGAGCCCAGATCCTCAAAGGCTTTTTAGGTGCTTGGCCCATTCATTTAACTGGGTTAACTCCCATTGAAATCAGTCTGGGGATCTGAGCCTTGGCTCCTATCGAATTACTTGCCTGGTCTTTTTAGTGTAATGGAGTCTTATAATACACTGGTCACTGCGGGGAAAGGTGCAGGGGAGGGTGAAAACTTTTTGTATGAAGCAGGAGGATGGAAATCTCTCTGAGATGAAAGGAAACACTTTATTTCTGGGAAGGCTTCAGCTTGAATCTCTCTCTCATCTTGTCTTCCAGAGCTTGGGCTCCCTTGGATGTTGGTGTATGTCCCTGTGAGAAGTTGCCATAGAGTCCTGAAGGAAAAGTTTGGGGAGTTTTCTCCTCCAACATACAACCATTTTCAGCTAAATATTTGGTGCAACTGGACCATATGGGCAGGCTCCAGAAAACACATAATCATTTATATCAAAGGATTTATGACCGATGAGGACTGTGACAAAAATGAGGATAAAATCCTATTTCAAGGAGTCTCTTCATTAGTAGAAAACACTGTCATCTATGCTTGTTGGAACAAGAAGATTCATGTCTTTGCCACCTATGCCCGGGCTGTCCATGTAGTATTTCTGATGAAGTATTCTTCAAACCCTAAAAACAAATACTTTAAAGGAAAGTATTATATATTCAAACACCGTGACATTGACTCCTCTTCTGAAGATATCTTAGTTTCTCAAGCCCCTATTCCAAAATCAAGGAAAACTAGTCACAGCACTCCCAGATCTAACAAAGTATCAGTAATATACCATGGAGAGATTTCGGATGATACAAACATTAGTACAGCTTCAAGTACTGAGAATCTTAACAAAAACCTTAACAAGACAACGGTACTTAATAACACAGGGTTATTACAGGTAGGGGGTGAAGGTCAAAATGTCGCAGTTCTTAAAAGTTCTCTTCAGCTTATACCTCAGCATGGTGCAAGGACTCCACTTTTAAAACCAGAAGCTCAGAGCTTGCTGGAGTCTCTCAGCTTGTCTACAACATCAATGGACAAAGAAAAGAGTCTTGGCATAGGAAAGTCTTTTGGAAGACTACCCCAAACTGCGGCACCTGATATCTGGGAGTTGAGACCCTCAGGGTGTGAAGAAGTCCTGGTGGACTTTAGCCAGGTGTACAGGCCAGAAAGTCTTCCAGGCTTTCTTTCTGAGTCTCCTTACCTGAGTGTTTCTCATTTAATTGAACCCTTGAAATCTATAGAGTTAGAAGGACCAGAGAGCGAAATGTCCTTTTTACTCACTAGTTTGATGCAAACTAATATGGGAGATTTACAACTGAATATAAATCCAACACCTCTAAGTTACCCTGTCCTGGCCTCATATTCACATTCTGTAGCCCATGACAGAGTGGAAACCATAGGTGACAAGAATATTGGCTCTACCCCTTCCCAAAGTCTCAGCAGGGTTACCTTGGTGAATGATGAGAATCTTTTGCAGTCAAACATCTTGGCTTATCAGGTGATGAGCAGTCACGGTGATAGCCTTGTGAAAGGTTCATTGCCTAGCCTCAGAATGTCCAGCCAGGATCAAGTGGTGCTTGGTGATCAGTCACAGCCTGAGATAAGGGGAATGGATAAAGCTGGAAGTTACCAAATAAGTTCTACTGAGATGGTCAGTGGAGATAAGTCTGTAACTGAACTGGATCTAAGAACAACGACCCTCAAAAATATTAACCCTCTTGATGTTTCTGTTCTGGAAAGTTCTATGGAAGTCCTTGACCAGCCAAAAATCACATTGGTTACTGCAGCACCATATGGCTTGTCAGACAGTGAGCACCACTTGAAGCTCCTAAGCAGTCAACCTGTAGATTCTGCTTCTACAGAACTAGAAAGCATCCTTCCAAGTACAGAAGTGTCCCTGCCTCTAGCTGCTAAGGTAAATGTGTCAGAGGTGCTCTATTTGGGCATGAAAAGCAGCCGGCAAGTGGGCCTGGTTACAGGACTGGAGCCTGTTCCAAGTACGGAAGTTTCTTTTCCTCCAGCTGCCTCAGAACTGGAGCTCATCCCAACTACAGAAACCTTCCTTCCTGTCCATCTCACAGAACTGGAGCCAGTCATCCCCTTCCCACATACAGAACCATCCCTCCCTCCAGCTGCCTCAGAACTGGGCCCTCTCCTCTTCCCAAGCACAGAAGTGTCCCTTCCTGTGTTCCCCACAGAAACAGAGCCTGTCACCTCAGCATTGGAGCCTGTCACCCCTTTCCCAAGTACAGAACCATCCCTTCATCCAGCTGCCTCAGAACTGAGGCCTGTACCTGGGAAGGGGAGAGAAGTGACCTTTCCTCTGGCTGCTATAGAACTGGAGCCTGTCATCCCAAGTAGAGAAGCGTCTCTTCCTCCAGCTGCACTTAAAAATGAGCTCCATTGGAGAACCAAAAGCAGCCACGACACTGACACAGAGCTAGATCGTATCCCTCTAAGTACAACCGTGCTGCTTCATCCAGCTTCTCAGAAGGAGGACCTGTTGGAAGGCGAGCCTCCCTCAAAGCCACACCATGACTGTTATGGGGCTCCAGCTGCTACAGAACATAAACATGCCCTCCCAAGTACAACACCATCTCTTAATTTCTTTCTTCAAGAAAGGAAAATAGGTGTCCAACAATCAATACTAAAAGGTGAGAGAGAGGAGGGCATCCATGAGGCAGAAACTGCACAACCTGGAAAGGCTGATGAAAGGAATTTAATCACAAACTTCATGACTGGCAACTCCTTCTCGGACACAGCTCAGCTGCAAGCCTTAAAACCAGAACCTGAGCTTGGACTTCTTGGATCTGAGGGCCACACAAGTAAACTTTCTCCAGTGACTGAGTACCTCGCTAAAACACCCTTCGTGGTAACAAGGATGAATAGAGTAAAGCAAAATGAGCTAATGTTTAAAAATGGTCTTATGACCTCTAACACTAGGGCTACTCCACCTCTGGAGCACATAGCCATGAATACTAAAGTCAAATTGACTGAGCCCGTAAAGGAGATGAGTAACGCAACACTGAAACAAATATTCCCAGATACCACAAAACCTCATGAAGTGCAGCAAACCACTGAATGGAGCAGTGCCTTTCAGAGCTCTGCTACTGCATATAGGAACGCTCTGACTCCAGCTGAGAAACTGGCACCGAAAGAGAGCATAGATTCACATCCCGTCCAATCGTCTTCTGCTCGCGCACCTGAGAATGCATCAACTTCAGAAGCAAGAGTCTTCCCGAACTATATTGGTATGTTTAACGTTTACTGTATATCTCGGTACATCTTGCTGTCTCTTGGGGTTTAAATTGTGAGCAACCATATGGCTGGGTTGAGGAGTGGGGGATACTGTGGATTCTGTAGCCCTCTGCTGTTGTAACTACATTAGCAGCACTCTACAGCGTGCATACAGTATTTGATGATGAATTAGAAGTTTCTGTACACTCCTCTGATGCTGAATGCTTACAGCTGCTGTGCAAAGTATGCAGTTACCGGCTTCTAATTATTTTTAATGCTGATCAATTCAGCAGATGAGTCCAAAAGAAATCTGAAAAATAGGGGTTTCTTTGCACTAACATGCAATCTAGTTTAGGAATTCTAATGATTGGGATTGTGGAACTGGCATCCTAGCTGTGGTCTAAAGGGACAGTTGGGGAGTTGTGGTTTCAAGTTTCATTTAGTAACTAGGCAGCCCATGTGCCAAAATTCTTTCTCTCACCCACTAGTCCGAAGGGCATTGTGTCCCCTTTTGACTGCCCATCTTGATTGGTTCTAATAGAATAACAACTTTGTTTCTCTCTCTGCAATCTAATTTTGGACCCCAGTGTTCTTGTGACTCATGACTGGCATTACTGGAAGCATGATCATTTATGCCCTCTTGTGATCACCAAAAAGGGTGCTTGATGAGCTCTATTTGCTTCCCGCCCCTCTGCAGACGTCTCATTGTCCCATCAATCCTGGGAGTGAGATACTCTTTTGAACTTATGTTGTTCCTCACCAGTCCTGTCTGGGTGTCAGTGGCAAAGTTTCTTACACTACACCTCTTGGCTACTGCCAGATCCTGATGACCTAGGGGACAGATTCTTGCTATCCAGCTAGCATGGTTCTTTGTGGATATTGCCAACGTTAAATGGAGCTGGCTGAAGAGCAAATATTTGAGTAACTTGACTGTTTCAATTAACCAAGCAAATGATTTACCCAGCAGTCTGCCCAACTATAGAGCTGGTGGAAACAATTAAAAATTAGACTGACAACTTGTGTCTGGTCATAATGAATAATTTGACCAGCTCTATCCCTAACCATTAGAATTTTCCTCAAAATTAGGAAGTGGGAACTGAAAAAACAGCACAGAGAACTGTCAGTCATACCAGTTTGCATAGCTAACCAAGAGCCCCAGTAATAGTTTTTACTCCCTCTCTAAACTTTTTTTTACAATTTAAAGCAAGAGAGAGGGTAGAAAAACAACCTAGCAGTAGGAATGCACTCAGACAGGTCTCTTCCTATGATGGAAGGAATCAGCTTTGCTTGTAAACAAGGTTGTTTGTTTTTTGTTAAAGTTTCTAGAATGAAGATTGATAGTACTGATTTTTCTTTTTCTTCCATGCATTATCCTTCCTTCCTCAGTGCCAGAATTACCTTGGTTGTTGCTGTATATTCCTATAAGAAGTTGCCACATCACCTTGAAAGATGAAATTGGGACATTTTCCCCACCAGCAAGTAGTGGTATTCATACCAACATCTGGTGCAACTGGACCATTTGGGCAGGCCCCCAAAAACACATCCTGATTTACATAAAGGGATTTCAGGGGAAGGAAGATTGTGATGAAAACCCAGATAAATTAATTTTTCAAGGGGTCTTGTCAAGTGTGGAAAGAAAAGTAGTTTATGCTTGTAAGAACCAAGGTACTCTGATCTTTGCTACTCAGGCTTTGGCTGTCCATGTCGTGTTTCTGTCCAAGGGCAATTCCTTAAACCATGAACGCAAATATTTCAAAGGACAGTATTATATATTCAAAGACTATGAAACTTCAAAATCTACAAATGATACTGAAACTCTTCAAGAGCCAGTTCAGAAAACAACTAGGAAAACTAAGTACGGAAGTATCCGATTCTACCCTAAATCACCCATAAAACACTACAGAGGTCTTCTGGATTTTGTAAAGACCAGCACAGCTCATGATGAAAATCAACTGCTTAACAAGCTGCCTACGTTGGACAAAGAAGGTTGGGCCAAAAATGGAAGCTCAACAAGACTAGAGACTTTCTTAAGGGTTGTTCTTGGGAACAACACACACGTCCCTCTCTTAAAAGCCATGGACAACATGACCTTCAGAACTCATGATCTGAAGTGGCAGCAGGTTATGAAATCTTTGGGCAATGAAAACAGTAGGGAAGAAAAACATTCTGACTTTCTAATGGTAACACCAGCATTAAATATATTGAGGCTAAACATCCAAAATGCAAAAGAGCAAACGATTGCTTTCAGTAAACTTATGGACAGGCCAACAATCCACTCGCACCTGCTCTCGGAGACTCTGCATTTAAAGGAGCCTATGAAATCTGTGGAGATGCGAAGTGTCAAAACAACAAAGTCAGTAGGACCACAGCACAGCTCAGCTGCTCTCTGGAGACCAGCTAATATGGAAGACCTACAGCCAGTTGGAAGACAAGCTGTGCATAGACAGCCTACTCCTCATGGCTTGCGATCTCTGCAGGGCACATGGGACGAGCAGAACATTCGAACAACCTCTTCTCAAAGCTTTAGAGCTGCGCTGATCAAAGACAGAGAGGTGCTCCAGTCAAACCATGTGAATGATGAGAGAGTGCCCAGTCATCCTGCTGCTTTTGTGGAAGACTTCCAGTCTAATATAGGGCTGAGCGGGGATGGTCAAGAAGTAACTGGTCAGCTACAGCATGTGATTAACATGGAGAGAAGAATTAAAGAAAGTCCTAGTGAACATCAAACACACAGAAAGGAAAATGACAACAGTGATCTGTACATGAAGCCAGCTTCTGCCCTCAAAAATGTTCAACCTAATGTTGAGCCTCTTATTTTGGGAACTCCTAAGAAAGTTCTCAAAACAAAGTCCATCCTGGTTACTGTAGCCCTACACAACACGCTGGATGTCTCTAGCAGTTACCATGCAGAGACCACTGCTACTGAATTCAAACCTGTTCTCCCGAGAAGCACCAGAAGTGGCCTGTTGGGAAAGACAGCTGTTGCTACCACACATCTTGGCACGCCAGTAACCAAAGACAAAGCACCTCCACTGATCATGAACACAAAATCACCTCCTTCCTATGCCTCTTCTGGTGGAGTATCAAAGGACACTGCATCCTTGAAAATAGAACATGAAAAAGATTCCTTTGGTAAGTTCTAATTAAGCAAACTTTATATGGTTAGATTATCTACTTGGATTGACAGATATATGGTCATGTTAAGGCAATAGACAAGTCAGGGTTTCTTGTGTTGATGGGTGTGGCTTTTTAGTGCTTCAGAAAGATGCTTCCTGTCAGGGTCAGAAATAACTTTGGGAAGTGTTGGATGACTTGACATGAAGATTTTCACCATACCCATTGCTCTGAATGTAAACAGCATGTCCCCCTATACACCTCTTCTGTGCCTAGCTGTATCTGAGGAAGAAAAGTTTTTATGCACTAGACATCTAGGCTCATGTTCTTCTCTCAGCATTTATAGTGTTTCACAGGACTTGGGCCTACATTTCTGCCATACTTGTTGAGATTCGTACACTCTCTCCACAGTTAAAACTGCATTTGTCAGCTTGTTTTCTTGCCTCACCTCCTCTAAAACCCACTTTCACTTGCCTCAAAATCCACAGGTTTGGTTTGTAACTGATGGGTTTATTTTCCCTACCCAACTTTATAACTGACATCTTAAAAGTGGAGGCTCACTAGAGTCCAACATTTTGAACACTCCTGCCACTTCGTGAGGTGGGGAAAGAATTTAGAGCATGTCTATGCTGCCCTGTAGTCTGGATTACGGGAGTGTGAATAGTTGAGCACCAGAGTGCTATGCTGTAGCTCCCCCATGTGGATGCTGCGGGTGTGAATGTAAAGGTCCTGAGTTTGCACTAACTCTCTTTGACTCCAAACTGTGGGGCAGAGTAGACATGCCCTTAGTTTACTGGACTCTTATTGTGAAGATCCAGCACATAGTACCAGACTCTAGTTCAACGGAACACTGGAAAACCTTTTTAGGCTTTCAGTGTGTAACTTGTCTGGGTGTTTTTTGGTTTGTTTTTTGTTTTTTAAGACCATCTCAGTACTCTTCACTGCAGAAGTACCTCAGACTGTAACCTGATCACTAGGCCTATTCTTTAATAGAAGGGCCATTTGTGCTAGTGATATTTTATAAAGTTATAATTGAATGAATAGTAAAACTGTGTTCCTCCCTTTTAGCGTTACTCAACGGCTACCAAATTGGCCTTTCTCTCTTTCACCCTGACAGATATGGTGTCCATCTTCACATCTCTCGAAAATGATTCCAACTTGGTATCTCAGCACAATCCTGGAGGTAACTGACTTGGGCAGGGGAAGCGTTTTATCATGGGTGAGGTTTTGAAACATGAGACGAGCATTTAACATTTGACCAGAAACCGGATTAAAGATGGGGAAATTAACCACTTGCTTCCAGCTAATAGTCATAAATTATAACAACTGACGACTCGTCAGGGTTTTTTATTTTATTGTTCATATTTAGTCATTATATGGTGTATACTACAGCAGAATACAATGCACTCCATAACTAATAAAAATCAGCTGATGCCTCTGGGGGTGAGGGGGAAGGAGAAGGGGAGCCCGTATGTGACATTAGCAACCAACTTGTTCCTTTGACATTTTGTTTCTGTGGAAACCATTTCTCTCCTTTGAGTTTACCTGCTCCTGTTGCTTATTCCTCATTTGGAGACCATCTTCCCTAGAGCTCCCTAATTTAGTTATACTTAGGAGGTTGACTCCATTTGGGGAATTGACAGCTATCATTGAACTCCAAAGGAGCAGAGGTCCAGTAAGTAGGACTTCTCTGCAATGAGAGAGCTTATTAAAGTGGAATATATCTAGTGGGATGTACTTTTGGGGGATCAATACCTCTAAGCACCAAGCTGTGTGGTTTTGGTTTTAAAACTATGGCAAAACTAGTGCCCATTCATCAGTAGTTATTTGTGCAGTGTGCCAATGGACCTTCATTTGATGTACTTTCATTTATAACTTGTTGGAGATATCTGATCTCAGTGGGAAAAGGATAGGGTGAAGGATGCTTAGTATCTCATCTGTGTCTTTAAAAAAAGTCTTGCTTGCTTATGTTAAAGATCCCAAAGCATGATTCCTAAGAGTAGGTGTATTGACTAGAACTGGGTGCATACCGCAAAAATCTTCCCTGGATACTTAAGAACTATCTGCAGTTGTATTCATGCACTTGTTAGTCTATGAATGGTGTGAAATTTTTACCAGCCTGACTGTTGGGAGACTAACTTTAATCTCCTGTGTTCAAATGCTCTTAGAAAGTCGACTTGCTTTCCATGAATTTGAGCCAGAAACCCAATCAAATGATGCTTGTCCAGCTGGGGAACCGATATAACAACCTGTACCTTGCATGACCAAAAGCAACTTAAAACAAAAGCTATAAAGTCAGATTGCGAGGAGTAAGCCAAAGAACCAACCTGCAAAAATACAGTCAAAATCCTAATTTTTCTAATATTCATTCATATATGAAGAGGGTAAATGTCATTGAATAAACATACATGTAACACACATGCATCCAGGTAGTCTTAACTTTGGCATCCTATCCAAATTGCACTTGCACATTCTACCTACCTAAACCACCCTCTGTGCAGCTTTACTTGAGAAGAGGCAAAAATATCATGTTAAACAGCTTGTCATCCCAAAGGAGACTACCTTGCTGGTAGTGAGTGGAAGGATACAGATTGACTCTAAATTACAGTGTGTAACCTTTCTGGTTGAAAAGGTGTAAATACTTGCATAACACTAACAGTACTGCATAAATAGTAACTTAACTTGTGATTCTCTCAAACATTTTGTTCTGCCTGTGGCACAACTTCTAAAAGGATCAACCTAATATGGCACTGACTGACTTAATCAAGAATGTTCTTGGCTTAGCTCTTCTGGTTGTGTTCTATTCCCCTGCTGTGTGTTGGCAACCACAAAACAGAACAGTTACTTAATTCATAATTACACAGCTAAATTCAGTATAATTGATGCTCCTTACTCAGGTCTTATTGGGTTTTATTTCTTTTGACAGATGTCTTATTTGAAGTAACTAGTGAAATTGAACACAAGGGATGGATCCCACGTAGTGGAGATGAGCTGAAAAAGACTCTCATGGAATCCATTAAGCTTCACGTAAGATGGATATGTTGTGCTACTAAACTGCCTTGAGACAAGATCATCCCAGTGCACGGTCCCTCTGTGGCTCTCTGATGGTCCCAGCTTTCACATCCAGAGACCTTCTAAATGCCCCTTCCTGTGCGTCTTGCTACCATATGCTAATTTTGTTCCAACACTAACCCTGCAGTGTCCAGTCCAGTGTCTTGCCTCCGTGCGTTTCTGACCGTGCTTAGTCTATGGTAAATTTTCAAAGTACTATAAAATTACAAGCTAATAGATTGGAATATGATACAAAGATCAACATTCAGACAACGTAAGATCAGTTTATGGCCTTCACACTCATTTTTGAGAAGAAATTAACTGCTACAGTAGCTGCCACCTAACACGATCTAACTTAAGGAGAGCAGACCTACAAACGTTCGCCTTTAAGGCTGCTACTTGTGGCTGTTCCAAGAGAGACCCTGTTCCTCTATAGGAATGAAGTTATAACTGATCAGTTCGGTGGCGCACAGGACTGGTGTCTAAAATCTGACATTTCAGAGCTGGGACTTACATTTAAGTCCCAGCCATAGGTCATATATTCCAGGTTGGGTAAACTGGCTCCATGGAGGATTTATACTGACTTTTGCTACTGCTATATATCCCTAGTATAGACAGGCAAAGCTGCTGTCTTCGGTGGGTGCAGCTTATCTAGCGTCAAGCACCAGTAAGTTCCACCCATGCAGATAGCAGCTTTATTTGTCTTCACTAGGGGTTTGCACCACTGCAGCCACTCCAGTGGTTGGTTAGCTGATGGCTGGAATTGGGCAAATTCCCACTGAAGATAAGACCTCAGTGTTTGGTATTAACACAGCTAGTCTACAGCATTCACCTCCTTGCCTGACTCACTGCAAGGAAGAAACAGGTACAGAATCCTCCTGGCCTACTGTTTGTAGTCAAAACAGCTGCCACATTTACTACAGGGTTTAATATGTTCCGAGATATGGTACTCGGGGTTGGGGGGGGGGTTACAATTCCCCCTGAACTTCCCATATTGCTGTATGGGAGTCCAAACTAAAGGAAGGTGGGGAGTGGTCTGGCATGGAAAAGGTTGAGAACTGGTCTAGAGGATGGGTGTCCCATATTCTTTCAAAGACTCCTCTTAGATTAGTGACTAACTTTTCTTCCCCAGGCAGCCACCCCATCTATAGAACCACTAAAATACAGCCCTCTATCTTTGTAAGGAAATCTGTTTAGAGTAGGCTTGACAGTAGTACTTGGCTAAGCATTTGTCATCCCCTTATGAAAATCTGCATTCTGTTACTTTGCAGATACAAAAGAACCTGAAACTCTTGGTAAGCAAAGTCAATGAAATCAAGTTGAAGGAAATCAAAAGGTATGGCTGGCTGACTGTGTGACCCCCTACACCCACTCAAAATCACTTAAATCCAATTGATGCAGTGTCTTATCTAGAACTGTCATTTTTCATAAAAGGGAAACTTAGATGCTAGTTATCTGCTCTAACTTAGCCATCCCTCCTCCATCTGCCAGTGATCAAGCAAGACTTCTACTTTGGATTGCAAATATGGCTTTTCCTTAGAGTAGGAAAACTCCTTTTTTTTTATACTTCAAATTGACTGTAGTATGCAATCCCATAGGAATGAGATTGCAAAAATTAATGCCTAAGGTAGTGTTGGACAGAGGCTTTATTGGTGTGGATTAAAATAGAACAATCCTAAAAGTCCCTCCCAGTTTCTGGTTGAAATTTATAACACATGGTGGTAGGAGGCGGCCTCTGAGGGCAAGTTTGTGTTTTGTTTTTGTTTTTTTTTTTTGTTTTTCCCCTTCATCTAGGACATCAGGTAAACCAAGCTAAGGTTGGTTGAGACTGAAAGCTTTTGTGTAATGGCCGGTCTGTGGCCTAGTGAAAAATGAGTCTAGTGGTTTCAATCCAGCTCCATGTGGAGGGGTGTCTCAGTCACAACTCCCCAAGAATTGAAAGGGGAAATGACCAACTCCTCTCTCCCTTTAGAAGTAGTCCCTCTGGGGTTGAGACATATATATCGGAGGAAGAATCCAGAGCCCAGTTCAGTAATAACATATATGCAGATGGGCATTTCTCTTCTCCACTTAGCTGAAGTTACTTTGCTTTAATGCAGGACAAATGACCTAAAACCAACATTCACTTTCTGGTTACACTTAAAACCAGAGGAAAGGAATCTGTCTGTCTTACTCCATTCTCAACTGAATGATCTCATTGGCAAATCTATGGGAGCTGAGAAGTTGCAGATGGCTTTATTATCAGTTAGAGGTATGTGCTTTGCATTATTGAACTGTTTAAAGCTGCTGCTGCTTCTTGTAATAGGTTTAACAATCAACATGATCTGGCTTGGGAAAAGGAGAGCTTGAGTAAAGTTGACTTGGAGCACTGTATGTATGCGTAACTTGATTCTTATGTAACCTCTACATTTAATAATTTAAAAAATACTGGATTGAGGTGGGAATAGCGCATTAGTTCAAGGTGACTGGTATTTCAAGGAAATCCCCTTTTTGAAGAAGCACTTGTGTAACTTTACGGCAGACTTGCTGCACCTGTTCTCTCCATTGCAGATGTGAATGAATGCAACTCTGGAATTGGAATGTGTGGTGATGAGGCTGACTGCCTCAATGAAGATGGCACTTACTTATGTCGCTGTAAAAAAGAGTACGAAGATCGCTCTCCGATGAAATCTGGCACACTATGCATCCGCATTCCACAATCAGGTAGAGGAGACAGAATTATACTTGCTCGTCTCCTTTCTTTGAGTAGTGCTGTATCTTAAATATGCAGTTTCGTGCTCTTGAATACCATTTCAAATACAAGTACTAGGTATATATTGGCACCACACCACTGAATAAATTAATCACAATTATTGTTGTGACAACAATAATTGTGCCAAAGGAGTTCATGTCCAGACTCTTACTGTGAAATGTTCTCAACCAGGTATGAGTAGCAAAAACTGTTTAAATACAAGTACCTCACAGTAAGTGGCTAATCTCTTGACTTTAGTCCTTCGTAACAATAATCACTATGTATCTTCACTTTGTTAAATGTGGATTAAGTTTGATTCAGAAATAACTCTGTTGCTGATAGAATTCAGTCTTTGTGCCTAGCCCTGGATGAGGGAGCAAGGAACCTTTCCCATTTCTTTGCAAGGACTATCAATGCTGGCTGTGTCAGATGTACTCTAAATTCTCCATGAGAAAGTAGAACTCCTACTTTGGCTTATTATCTTAAACTGATTTCTAATAGATCTAACACTAACAGAAATCAGCTGCTCTTAGAGTGAGGATGAGCGCCCATGGAGGGGTTTGTATCATTTTAAAAACACCTTTTAGTTTGCTATTGTTCAGAGCAAGATTCTCTAGTGGTAAATTATAAGTCAAGAGGAGACTCTTCTCCCCTCCCCCACTGAGCTGTTGAAAACCAGATTTACTCTTAAAATTCTAACGATCAAATCTCTCTACACTCTACTGAGCAGGCTGAGGAACAATATTGTCCTGAGAACTTTCAGGGCTGGCTGGGCACAGTGATGTGAGGCAGAAGCCAGTACATGAAAATAGTGTTTTGAAATCCAGCATGTTGGCTTTCAGAATAAGGCTCTGCTTGGCATGTTTGTCCTGAGCCGACTGGCTTCACTCCATTAATTATGACAAGTACACGTCTAATCCTTCCCCCTCCTAGATCTGCTGTAGAGATCTACTTGCTATGACTCGTCTTCCTACATTCTTGCAGAGTTACAATTTGAATTTGGCATATGGGTTTGCAAAAGAATTGACCAGTGACCTAGTCACTGCCCCACATTGCCTTGGAATTGTTCATATTTTAGTGGAACTCTGCAGATGACAACAAGAAAGGGGTTCAGATTCTTCCAGTGTGTACACCACTCTTTGGCAGGGTTGCATAAAGCAAAACAGATGGCACAAATTGTGGGTCAGATTATAACTAGAGTGAGTTAATCTAATCCCTCTGACTAGTTGTAAATTGTTAATTTAGCCCTTCCTTTGTCAGCTAACTCTTCTCAAATTAATTGACTTCTGAAATGTTTATAAAAATTTGCCAAACCATTTAACAAAACTAGCTGGCTCCACATGCCTTTGCCAAAAACACAAGGCAAATGAAATTGTGCCCATATTCAGATATTCATGAATCCTTTTATTCAGCCAGTTCTAGTTATAACCAAACTACCTTTTTCTATTAGTTTTGGGGGGAAATTTCAAAATAAACGGGAGAACAAAATGTACTAGAAACATTTCAGTGGGACTAGTAGGGAATAAATGGGCAGTTGAAATCCATGCCCATGTGCTACCAGGTCAGCTCCCCACCAGGGCCGGCTCTGGCTTTTTTGCCGCCCTAGGCAAAAAAGCCACCTGCTGTGCCCCTCCACCTCCCGCGCAGCAGGGGAGGGCGCCGAGCCCACCCGTGGGCCCGCAATCCCTGACCCAGCCGAAGCGCCAGGGGGAGGGCGGCGAGCCCAGCCGGGGCTCTCCGCTCTCCCCCCCAGCGGCCAGAGTACCAGGGGGAGGGCGGCGAGCCCCCAGCGGCTGGAGCGCCGCGGGGAGGGCAGCGAGCCCAGTTGCTGCCCCGCTCTCGGGCCGGAGCGCCCCACCGCGCCGCCCCCCTCCAGGCGCCGCCCCAAACACGTGCTTGGTGGGCTGGTGCCTGGAGCCGGCCCTGCTCCCCACTCTCCCCTATGAGAACTAGAATAGATAAACTGTCTCAAATTGTAATGGATTGTATGTGTTGCTGGTATTTCTAGTGGGGCTCTTCTCCATTAAGAGAATCAGAGTAAAACATTATGCTGGGTCTGGAAACCATTCAGAGTCTAAATTCTTCTGCCAGATAGAGGATTGAAATGAGGAGACGACTGCCTTTGTCCCAGACTACATAACATATATCACAGTAAGAATCTGCAATTGGACTTTTGCAGCTATAGCAGCGCATAGAGCAGCTGCTTCAAAGGTGCATGTAATTAATGAGTAAACATTGACTTTTATCAATCAGCTAATTGACTTAGAAGCCAAAGTCCCATACATATATTTTTTTTCAATGTCTCCAAAAGGAGACAAGGTGGGTTAGGTAACCTCTTTTATTAGACCAACTTCTACTTCCTCCACCTTATCTCTAATATCCTGGGACCTGCCACAACATTGCATGCAATAATAGTTCCAAAGTCACTTTTGAAAATGGAACGTGAGCTATTGAAAGTCACTAGGACTTTGGCTCCTAAGTCACCTGGCTTTGGAAAGGCTTAGCTAGAGTGACTGCAGTGTAGGGTCATTCTGAATGTGATTTGCCTTCAGACTAAAACCCCCACCTGCAGTTAGCCTCTCAACACAAGACCCATAAACTATGGTGTGAGGCTGAATATATGACTGTCATCTTTCTTTTTAGGTATTGGTAGTTTGTTCAGCTACCTGGAAATTCTGGTAGGTACTACAGTATTCTTCATCTTCATCCTCGTGGTGGTGGCAAGCAGTCTGTGCACAATACTCAGGAAAAGACCCACAAAGAAGGCTTGTATTGAGGAGCCGGTTGCAAGTGGAACACCTTCTTCAGCACAGTCTCAGCTGCCTGTATCTTCTATTGATCTGAGTAACCTTGGTGACCACCTGATCCTAGACCCCTTCCGGCCAAAGCTCAGAGCCAAGCCCCCAGAATGGACATCACAAGTGCGAACCCACCCAAATGAGACTTATAGAATCTCCGTTGAGCAATCTGAATGTTTGTAAAGCAAACCTATGCTGAAAGTTTGAGGTTTTTCTACTGATTTCCTCTTATTTACCATTCATGAGCTGAAATGGCCTATTCCTTTCAACAGAACTTGAACAATCCTGTGTCTCCTACACCTGTTTCTGTTGGCTGAAGTGAATAGAGCTGTGGCTCAAAAGAAAATTTATTTTCGTTCTTGGTTGGATTCTTGACCCCTGTACTGTCTGGTTTCATATCGCTGATTCTTTGTAACTTGAAGGAATTTTCTGCAAACAGCTGGCATGTAAATAAAGCTGGTATTTCACTATGCATGGAAAATGTACACCTTGCGTACTGCTCGTATTAGATGCAAGGAGTGGGAAAAGATGGAAGACTTCAGTTAGCAGGAAACCTGAAAAGGATTATAGTTTAAGCAAGTTTACTGCCCCTTGTTAGGCAAACAAGTCAACTGAAAACCAGAAGTAAATTAAAGCAGTACCAGGGCAACTCTTAACTTTATTGCCCTTGGTCTTCCTGACACCACCTTCCTTTTTTTTTTTCTTATCTAGGCACTCTGCAGTTTATCTTGCTTTCTTTGCTATCAAACCTAATCCTCTTATGCGTACATGCACTAATGTAAAACAATTTATTTACATAAAGGTGGTGTCTTTATAACAAATGTCCCATCTTGTCTTAACTCTAAACTCTAGCTGTACAGAATTCCAGCTTTATCATTTTAAATGAGAACTTCATGGAAATGACTCGTCTGAAAATAAGGGTGTGTTGTGCATGAAATTTTATGGGGTTTTTTTGGAGGGGGGGCTGAGATCCTACTTAGTGTGGGGGGGGAAGAGGGGGGGATCTTTGTCTTATCCTTGTCATTGCACTACAATAAAATAGACTTTATAAAATGACTGCAACTTAATTGTGAGGCTCTGAAGGTAATGAAAGAATAGCCTTTCAGGTCTATTTCCTGTTGGAGCTGCTCAGCTTCTCTAAGGATGTGAGAAGAGCAAGCTATCTCCATCTGACCCAGTCTCTCTGTGGATGGCAGTGCCTTGGGCTGGTCACTGTGACTTACTAGTGCCAGTCACAAGGTGAAGTTGTGAAATAGGATATGGATCTGGAGCACCAGCTCCCCTGCAGGCACTGCTGCATCATAACATGTTCAGCAGTGAGCCAGGCTCCAGCCCAGTGCCTGGTGGCTTGAGTATGCAGCTGCCAGGTTCTAGCTTGTTCTGTGGAGGAAAGCAAGTCTCTCATTCGCTGGGCTGTGCAGCAGGAGTGACAGGGGAGATCTGTTCCTCCCCCAAGGGAGTAGAGGCCAGTGTAGGAGGAAAGAACCTATCCCCACCCTCACTATTCAGAGGCAAGCTCTCGTCTCTCTCCCCAACCCCCCCAGATCTGACCTTTAAAGGGGGCTTCGAAGCAAGTGCCCTGACTTTCACAAGTGCTCAGCCCTCATTGACAGCAATGGGAGTAGTTACTAGCTCAGAGCTGTCTCCTAAACTAAGTCACTTGTTTAGAAGCTTAACTCGTGACCTTGCTGTTCTTGGCAAAGAGCTGTAAGGCATTCACGTACCATTGAGCTGAGGCCTCTGTTTTTAAAAACCTGGCCCACAGTGATGTGCCCCAACATGAACTTCTGCTCTGTCATAAGTGGTATGCCTATGGTTATGTCAAATGCCAATTACCTAGGGGTTTTAAAGCCAAAATTGTACACCTATACCCTGATATAACGCTGTCCTCGGGAGCCAAAAAATCTTCCCGCATTATAGGTGAAACTGCGTTATATCAAACTTGCTTTGATCCACCGGCGTGCACAGCCCCCCCCCGAGCACTGCTTTATCGCATTATATCTGAATTCATGTTATATCAGGGTAGAGGTGTACTTAGTTCTTCTATGCTGTACTACAGGGTTTTAAAAAAAAAAAAAAACATAACTTCAGTGAGTTCTAGTAGGGCCTCATTATTCCACCATCTTTCCCACCTAGCCAATGGCAGCAACTCTGCCCCAATATTACTTCTCATCTTTATCTAACTCTATTTGAATGTTTTCTTGAAGAAAGCTTACTGAATTTCAGTGCAATTCTGTCATACCACCAGAGGTCAGTATTTTCCACAGAAAAAAGCTGCTGCTGTATATTTTGATAGTCTATTAGGGCACAGTGCCTGCTTCAATGATTCTTCCTGTGCCTAATAACTTGGACATGCACTAAACCCTCCTTCCTTTCTAGGAGGAGGGAAAGGATGGTTGACCAGCAGAGGTCCATCACCTAGGTCCTACACCTGAAACGATGACCATCTCTTTGTTTGGAAGTAGAGGCCAGCCATGGGAAAGGAGCGCCCAGGCTGGGATACCACTCAAAGTAACATTACAGCTACTGTTGCACTTTACTTCAACTGTTTTATTCTTTCAGGTGGCAACCATATGTCATTGTATTGTTCCATTTTGGTCTGTGACTGATTCTCCTTGGTACTAATGCAGTGCACAGAGATGCTGCCTGTCCACTTGAATCAGCCAGGAGTGTGTGTTCACAAACACTTGATGAACTGGGGTGCAATACCAGGGACAGTGTCTGAGGTTCTCTGTCATGAAGCTTATAAGAGTGTGATATGAAAGCCTCATCCAAAACTGGAGGTGGCCTAATCAGCTCTGTCAGGTAAGTTGGTTGAGTGGTAACTTTGGTGCAAGGTGACTGCATTCCTTTGGTGTAAAAGGCTAGTTCAAGTTGCTTTGTGCTAACATGAGAGCTCCTGCCCAAATAGGTGCACTGAGCTTCCTCCCCACCCTTGGTGTTCATCCCATTCTGAATTCAGCGTTATTGGCTGGGGTTTGGCAATAAGAAGTGTAGAATATACCTCCTAGGGTAGGGTTGGGCAAACTATGGCCCCGGGGCTGAATCCAGCCCTTCAGGCATTTTAATCTGGCCCTCAAGCTCCTGCCAGGGAGAGGGGTCTAGGGCTTGCCCCGCTCCACGTGTGCCGTGCTCTGCGCCACTCCTGGAAGCAACAGCATGTCCCCCCTCCAGCTCCTACGCGAGGGGCAGCCAGGGGGCTCTGCACACTGCCTCTGCCCCAAGCGCTACCCCCACAGCTCCCATTGGCCAGCAACAACGGCCAATAGGAGCTGCAGGGCGGCACCTGCAGACGGGGCAGTGCGCAGAGCCACCTGGCTGTGCCTCCGCATAGGAGCCGGAGGGGGGACATGCCGCTGCTTCTGGGAGTTGCTTGAGGTAAGCACCGCCTGGAGCCTGCACCCCTGACCCCCTCCTGTGACCCAACCCCCTACCCCAGCCCTAAGCCCCATCCTGCCCTCTAACCCCCTTAGTCCCACCCTCCTCCACCCCAGAGCCTGTACCCGCAGCCAGAGTCCTCACTCCCCACCAGCCCAGAGCCCCCTAGTGCACTCTGAACTCCTCATTTCTGGCCCCAACCCAGATCCTGCACCCCCAGCTGGAGCCCTCATCTCCTCCTGCATCTCACCCCCCAATTTTGTGAGCATTCATGGCCTGCCACACAATTTCCATACCCAGATGTGGCCCTTGGGCCAAAAAGTTTGCCCACCCCATCCTAGGGTCATCCCAGTGCTGCTGCATTAGATGTAACCTGCCCATTAAATAATATTGCACTTACAGACCATCTTCTATGCCAAGTATTTAGAGGGTGACGAGAGGTCCCGTTTTTAAAGGGACAGTCCCATCTTTAAGCCCTCCTGCAGGTGTCCTGACTTTTTCTTAAAAACAGGCAAATTGTCCTGTATTTTCTGTCCCTCCCCCTTCGCGCCCCCCCCCCCAGCACTGGTGAGTATTGTTGTTGGCTGGATCCCTACTCGCCAGCCGCCTGAGCCCCATCCCGTTTCTGGCTGTGAGCTGTAGTGACTGGTGAGTGCAGGCAGAGGCCAGCTATGTGTCGCCTCTGCTGCCCGTCTATCTGCCCTTATGTGCTCCCCCTCTCCGTGTCCTCTCCCTGCTTTGCCCCTTCACCCCCCACCCCCGCTGCTCCTCCATATCCCCCATGGCGGGGTGCATCTCAGAGCTGGGCAGAGAACCAGCCCCCTGGTTGGAGCGCTCAGCTCACCAACAGCCTGGCCAGTAGGCTCCTTTCCTCCCCCCACTGCCTCCGGCTGGGCCGGTGCCCCAGGAAAGCCCAAGACCCTCCAGCCCAAGGCACTGGCCAGGAGGAGCCAAGGCCCACACAGTGCTGGCATGGGGAAGCCTCTCTGCCCCTCAGCAAAGCTCTGCAGTGGAGGGGAGGAAGCGATTTGCGGCCTGTTCATGCCCTGACCCTGCAGGCTCCACAGCGGCCCCAGAGGCAGGGGCTTAGCACCCTTTTCACCTGTCTTCCCCCTCCCCATACACCCTGGGTCCTTTCCCCAGGGAGTGTGGGGCTGCACCTTCTCCGGCTGAGCCACTTCCCTGGCCGGGTTCACTGAAGCCCCTGCAGTCAGGTTCCCTGGGCCCTGGTGCACAAGGCATCCTTAGGGCTTAACCCCTTCCTGCCCGCGCTGTAGCTGGAGGACAGGAGGCCGCTGGGTTATGTCGGTGGCCAGCAGCAGCTTAGAAGTGTTAACTGCCTTTCCACACTGTGTGGGCAGGAAGAGACAAGCTGCTTCCAGCCCCGGGGGGAAGGGGGAAAGAGATGAGCTCTGCAAAGACATGAGCCAGGTCATCCTCCCCCCTCAACTCCTCCTCCCCTGTGGCTGGAAGCAGCTCCCGTCCCTTCCCTCCCGCACAGTGCGGAAAGTCTGTGGCCACGTTGTGGTGTGAACCCTGGCAGAAATCTGGGGTGGAAGGCATGTGACCCTGTGTGCCCCCCGTGTTGCCTTGGGAACACGTGGCACTAGGTACCAGGAGAGGCAGGTCCCTCCTGGGGGCCCAGCCAGGCATAAGGGCGGAGAGCGCTGGGCAGGGAGTGTTCGGTCGGTCGGTCACTCCCCTTGTGAGAGAGGCATACGGGAGTGTGTGTGTGTGTGTGTGTAACCCCTCCCCATGTGAACCTTAAAGCCTTATAGATAAGAAGGTAAATAATAAAGAATCCAACTACGCAGTATTTCTTTTAAACAGGTGCTCAGTCAACTTGATGCTCATTTGAACGTTTGTACTGCATAGTTCTGATTGATTGCCATTGAACTCGCTTGAACACGAGTAATTTTACCAGGTGTCCTGTATTCAGCATAGGGAAATATGGTCACCCTAAGTATTTACAAATGGTGAATTACCTCACTACCTCCGAGGGAGATAAATATTCCCATGTTACGCGTAAGGAAACAGGCATGGCTGTCAATTGCCTGCTTTGTTTCCACATGTGCTGGAAACTGGTTAATGGAAACTGACAATCATAAGAGACTTGTTCAAGGTCACCAGGAGGTCTGCTGCAGAGGTTGGAAAAGCACCTAGGTCTTCTGACTTCCAGATCCGTACGTTAGCCTGAGGCCAGCCTTCCTCCTCCTTGAGTCTTCTAAAGAGGTTCATTGGCGCAGGCTATTCACGATTCTGAAGATTAGACCATTGCTGTTAGTCTGAATGTCCCCAGCCCGAGTCATTTAGTGACTCTCAGCACTGGTGGGGAGGACAATGTGTTCTGTTGCAGGGAAATGGGAATAACATGTTGTTCAGCACCTCTTGTCAGCCATCTACAAACTGCTGATTTGCTGTCAGCTCCACCGAGGGAGCTCTGTGCTTTCTCTCCTGGCCCAAGCCAAATCAAGCAGTGCTGACAGCAGCTGGCTGTAGTTAAGGGTGCTTGTGCTGAAAGGTTGGGAAGAGCATGTGCAGGGACTAGGGCTTATCATAGGGTTTTTTTTGTAAAGAAAGACATAGGCTTATAAGAGCACACCCAGTATGTGCTAGTTAACTTCATCATGACACCAGGAAAGAGAACTCTCAGGGGAGCGACAGAAAGCAACACTGATGATATTTCAGGAGATGATGATTTGCAGTAGGACTCACGTGGCTTCTAGCCAAAGAGCAGGCCGAGTAGGCCTACCCAAACCTAGAGTACGAGAGGCAAGGTGGGGCCTGGTGCAGAAGATGAATAATGTGTACTGGGAGACTCACCTCAAGGCAAATTAAACTTCACTCAGGTAACCTGGGAATAATACAGGATGGTAAAAATGCTCTGTAGCCAGCTCTTGTGGCAGTGAGTCTTCTGTCACTTAGCAAATGCGTGCGGCTTCCCCTTAGACAGGAATCTTCCACACGATGTATACAAACTGTTAAAATAGCAGTGCTAGTCTGACTTAAGCTACGGTTGTGGATTAAACTTGCTCTGCTGTTTCTGGGCATTACTACTGGTTTGAAATCTTACCGTAAAGAAACAGGTAATCTGTAATAGGGGGGAGTAATCCCATGCTCATATTAACTTTCCTTGCTTGTCTCTTTCTGAGACCCTCTAACGTTGTTCTGAATACAGTTTTTCTATGTATACTTTCCCCTGCGGGATTGCTGGTGGGGTGCTGAGAATTCTCCCCTATTTCTGCACCACAGCCACTATCTGTAAGGCCCGAGGGTGGAACTTCCTACACGGCTGTGGAGCCCTACAGGGAGGATTATACACCAGCCATGAAGATAATTGAGTATGGTGTTGAGGCCCTGTTAGAGGGGAAAGCAGGAAGGCTGGTGCCCCATCCCTGCTCCTGGGAGCGAGTGGTGGTGTGTTCCCATCAGATGGCCTGAGCAAAGCCTTTGTCCTACCACCTTCAGAGCAGGGCAGAGCACAACCGGGCGGCTCCTGCCTCTGTAGCAAATACAGCTGGGCCTCGACACCAGAGAAACTGCACTGATCAACATTTGTCAGCTGGGGTGTGATTTGGCAGTAGAGAAGCTGGATGTACTTTTTATCATTAAATCAGCCCCTGGGGGAGGAGGGAGATTAAGTTTCAGCATCAATGAATCTGAAGCTGTCTGCACTTGCCAGCAATTTCAAATAGTCCAAAGTGGCTGGATAGTTGGGGCCAGAGGCTTTAGTGAATCCTGAAGGGTATTAACCGTTCCTTTCCTTTCCTAAATTCTGTAGTCTGAGTTGCACCTGAGGGATGGGAGGGTCTGGGGTCAGGGAAAAGAGCTTTTGCTCAATAAGTCTGAGTGGGAGTCATTCCCAGCTAGATTATCCTCCCCTATGGCTGGGAACTCCCTTCCTTTCCTCCCTTTGCTCTCCCAGTGCTACTTCTCCAACCTCCCGCCCAGATCACGGAAGCATTAGTGGGCATAGAGACAGCCAAGGGGAGGGAAGGTGTGTGAGGAACTAGTGAAAAAGAAGAATGTTTTCGGGTGATACCAAGCCCTTTCATGAAATGTAAATGGGAAACCCATGTTGCAAAATTTAGATCTAGAGTTGGATCTGACTCTAAATATCCCAAGTCTGTCTGCAGTCCTGGTTCTAGGTCAGCCCATTAGAGTGACAGATCCAAACCTGGCTCCATTCTGAACTGCCCCTAAATTGGGTGCAGGTGGAGTGTGATTGGGGCTGGTGCTGTGGTCTGTGCTCATCTCTGCTGAAAAGGAAAGCAGCTGATAAACTAACACTACATACGTGTAAATATGATCCCTATTAAAAGTCCTGGGGCGAGAGTTGTGCCATTAGCTGCACCAGGACTGAGTAAGTGGGGTGAGCTGAAAGTTGTGATGGAGAGCCAGAGCCTCCCGGAGAATTGCCAAGGCTGGGACCAGTTAGAGTCCTGGACCCCCTTCTCCTACCTACCGTATTGTTATTACACATTTATATGGCACACATCTGCACATATCTGGGTGTTTTATATGATGTTTAGTATGTAAGTGTATGTATAAGACCTTTCAATCAGTAAGGAGCAGTGAGCACCCTTGTTTACTCAGACAGAGGATGGAATATACGAGTGGAAATACACTGCCATAATCCATGTTTACACAGACTTATAATTACTGGGTGAAGAGTAAAAAAACTCCTAGCTGCAGACTTCTTCTCTGTCCCTCTTTTCACATTTCCTTTCCTTCCAAAATATACCCCATCTACACTCAACCCTTTAAGGTATTGAGTTCCTCCTTCCTGGCACTAATTACAGTACAGTTACTCCTGGGGGCATTCTGTGCCAAAAGATAAAAAAATTCTGCACACAATATTTTAAAATTCTGCAAATTGTATTTGTCAAAGTAACACTATATAATCACACCAATTTCAATTATTTTAGTAATTTATTTCAAAATACCTGTCAGCAAGTATGTCTGTAACAATACAGACACACACAAAAATTCCCCCCAGGAATAGAGAGTTAAAGAAACCCCTATGACAACCCAGTTCCTGTTTCTCTGCCACCTTTCCCCCCTACCTTGAGCCCAGCTGGGGGGAGGGGGAGACACCCACAATCCCCTCCCCAGAGCCCAGCCATGCCCCCCCAGCTAATATACCTGAACCCCCTCCTCTCCAGAGCCCAACCATGGGGACTCCCTAGCCCAAATACCCACACACACCCCAGAGCCCTCCCAGCCCAGACACCAGGAATCCAGAGGGAGAAACAGCCTGATGCTTGGTCCCAGACTTGCACAGAGTTTCCTGTGTGCCTCTCTCTCCTTCCCTCAGGGCATGCTGGGAACTGCAGCTGCCAGGAACCCTCTCACCCCACCCTGAGCAGTGTCTTCTATGTGCGAGCTGGGCTTTGCTGGGTCCAGCAGCCCCTAGGGGCAGCTAGCAGCACTGCTGCCCATTTCTGTGGGGAAAAGGAAATTCTGCACATACAATGTTAATTTCTGCAAAATTCTGCATTGCACAGTGGCGCAGAATTCCCCCAGTAGTAGTCTATGACCAGGTCTGGTCCAAAAGCAGTTCCAGTGATGCCCGTTCTTTGCTCAGATCTGAACATGCCACAGGCTGTGTGGGGGACATAAGCAGGATCAGACTCAGGGTTGTACTTGGAGCGTCTCTGTCAACTTGATCAGTAGTGGGAGGAGAAAACCGGCTCCTACATGGTGCATCTGTCTCCTTACAGAAAATAGAAAATACAACTGAAACCTGTTGTTATGCAAGACTGAGGCCATGTTAGCTAGTTAGAGACACAGCTTAGGTTTGTTTGTTACCACCTGTGTACACTGTAAAGAGTGAAATATGAAATAATGGGAGCAGGAGAGAGAAATCCAGAAGAGAAGGGAGAAAAGTATTTTTATCAGATGAAATCCAAAGACTGCATCATCAGCTGCTGTGTCACTTAATATGCTTTACTTGACTGGCTTGATATAACTTATGTACAGAGAGGGCTGTTTCTCTTTTGCTAACGTGCTAAATTCCAGCATGAGCGTCTCGCATTTCCCCAAAATGCTTTAACTCTTTCCCCAGAGTTTCTCTTCTCTTCCAAAAGCAGAAATGTATGAAATTGCTCTTTGTGTCAAATGTGCTGTACATCTAGCCAGGCCCTAACTTGCTTCATGATGTAGTTCCTACCTTTCTGTCTAGATGCTGGCTTGGGGGACATAACATTGAGTTGACGTGCTATGTGCTTATATGGACTGTCATATTAAATCAAATAAAATTACCTTCCAATAAAGTGATGCTGAACCTAAAGCACAATAAACGAATGGGCTTTTGGGTGCTTTGGATTCCTTTACATGTGGGATTAATTAAGAGCCTGGCCTTGGAGTCATTAGTCAGGTGAGATAGTCATTGACCTTAATGGTTTTGCCTGAGTCATGGATAGAGGCTAAGGCCCTACAGTGGAAATAAGTCTGGGGGCCACAGTCCATGGGTGGCCCCCGTTGAGAGCAGTAGGGGAAACACAATGCAGTCTTCTGTACACATGACATTATGTTACAGAGTTAAATAAGCAATGATAGCAAAGGGAGAGCTAAACGAAGAGAGGAGATATGAATAGAGGTTTGGCTCTTGGTGTACTTGCTAATGTTATAGTGTCACTGGAGAAGCATGCTAGTAACATTAAGAATTCCTGAGATCATCTAAAGAGAATTTCCAGACTATAATTGGGTGGAAGTAGAAAAATGTTGCTTTTTGCCTCCTCCTTGGTCAAATAGTTTAATTCCACTGTGTTTTGGACTTTCTGCGTGTTCTCTCAATCCCCGCCCAGTTCCCATAACACTCTCCTGTCAGCATTTTAACAAAGAGCAACCATCATATCACATGCTTCTTGGGAGAAATCCAAAGGCACAACTGTTTTACAGAGCACTGATTTTCCAGGTTTCATAAACTGTACCCAGGGCTTCTGACTATGCATCATCCTTGGGTATTTTTAGTAAAACTCATGGACAGGTCATGGGCAGTAAACAATTTCACGGCCCGTGACCTGTCCATGACTTGTACTATATAAATCTTGGGTGGGGGAGGGGGCTGGCCTGGGAGTGCTGCTGGTGTGAGGGGGGCAGCCTGGAACCTCTGTTGGTGCTGGGAGGAGGGTGGGCAGCGGCGCACGGGCCGGGACCCCCGCTTGTCGTGGGAGGGAGGGTGGTGGGGCTGGCAGGCTCCCTACCTGGCTCCACGCCTCCCCAGAAGCGGTGACATCCCCTTCCCTCTGCTCCTAGGTGGAGGCGCAGCCAGGCATCTCTGCACGCTGCCTCCGCCCCGAGCACCAGCTCTGCAGCTCTCATTGGCCGGGAACTGCTACCAATGGGAGCTGTGGGGGCAGTGCCTGCAGGCGGAGGCTGTGCGTGGCCTCCACCTAGGAGCTGAGGAAGGGGCATGTCACCGCTTCCGTGGAGCTCCCCCTCGCCCTGAAGTAAGTGCCACCCAGAGTCCTCACCTCCTCCCACACTCCAACCCCCAGCCCTGAGCCCCCTCCCACACCCAAACTCCTGCTGTTGCTGGGGTAGAGGGGCGTGATAGCCCGAGACTGCGGCTGATGCGGCTGGCCAGGCACTGCCTGAATTGCTCAAGTGGTCCTGGGGTCAGCCGCACCAGCCACTGGAGATGTCACGGAGGTCCCGGAAAGTCTCGGCATCCATGACTTCTGTGACAAAGTCGCAGCCTTAATCATCCTTCACCTCCCTATCGTAGCAATGGAATGCTAAACTGTATTGTGCCATTCAGCCACTAGGTGGCACTGTGTGTAAAATACCTTCTTGAGTTACTGAGCTATCGCTGGCTGCGTGTTCAAAGATCTTATGATGAACA